AAACTATTCCTACTATTCCAAGGACTGGATGAAGGTCTAAATTTAGATTTAAAACTATTCCTACTATTCCAAGGACTGTATGAAGGTCTAAATTTAGATTTTAAACTATTCCTACTATTCCAAGGACTGGATGAAGGTCTAAATTTAGATTTAAAACTATTCCTACTATTCCAAGGACTGGATGAAGGTCTAAATTTAGATTTAGTCTGACATTGATGAAATAAGGCATTTAGGCAGTATGCTTCAGAACTCAGGCAGTAGGTATGAAAGGCCTAATGTGTTGGGCATTAGTTAGTAAAGTCAAAAAATTTGAACAGCCTCAGACCAATACTTTTTGAGTTATCGCAAAAAACGATTGGGAGGGTGGGTCACAGTGCCCCCCCCCCCTCAGTCGAAATAGGGTTAACACAAGCTTATTCTCTCTCTTTGACTCTTATCTCTAGCTATTTCCTTGTTAAAACTAGTCATACACTTGTGTTAACACAAAAGATGAGACTTTAAAGAGGATCTAGAACTCGAAATATGACAAAATCACAATCCTGCATCTAAGCTTAATAGACATCAAGAAATATTTTAAATAGTTAGTTAGACTAACTGGAATATTTCTTTAATTTAGGGAGTTTTCATCAATTTTAAAAACGTGCAAAACAGATTTAGATTGAATCTTTGTCACAAATTTAAAGTTTGATATTGAATTTGATATTTTAAACTTAGATTATTTGATTTTACATAATTCTACAACTTATGTGTTCCTTTAAACCAGACAGTACTTTAAACAATATAGTATCATCTGTGGGTAATAAACAATAGGAAGTATACTATAGGCAGTATACTAGGCAGTATACTAGGCAGTATACTAGGCAGTATACTAGGCAGTATACTAGGCAGTATACTTTTGGCAGTTTACTAGGCATTATACCAGGCAAAATAAAATAAAATCATCAGTCAGACTACCCCCAGTCCCCCAAACTCGCCTTAATCCAACCCAGTCTGTATAGTGTTAAAGGATGTTTGATATTGTAATATAATCAATTGTGAAGATTGTTTGACCAGGCACCATAGGTTGCCATTGAGGAAGATTTAAACAAATAGTAGAATTGACGCTATTATAAAAAAAGGGTTGGGCTTGGTTAGCTTTGGGCGTTAGGTTGGGGAAGTGGAGAGGGAGGGGAAAGGGTGAAGGTGGAGGGGAGGGGAAGGGGGAGAGGTGGAAGGGAGGGGAGGAGGATTAAAAAGGGAGGGGGCATTCGTCTAAGGGTATAGGGGTATAGGGGTAGAAAACGCTCTGATGAAGAGGAAAAGGCATAGGAAGGACCAAGAAGCATATTAACTCAGAAAAAAAACTTATACGTCATCTCTTGGTTCCTAGCCAACCAGCTCCTAGGTTCCTAACCAACCAGTTCCTAGGTTCCTAACCATCCAGTTCCTTGGTTCCTAGCAAACCAGTTCTTAGGTTCCTAATTAACCAGTTCCTAGGTTTCTAACCAACCCATGTCCCTGGTTCCTAACTAAGCAGTTTCCTTTTTCATAATCGGCCAGTTCCTGGGTTCCTAGACGATCAGTTTATAGGTTCCTAAACAACCAGTTCCTAGGTTCCTAAACCAACCAGTTCCTAGGTTCATAAACCAACCAATTCTTGGGTTCCTAACCAACGAGTTCCTAGGTTCCTAACCATCCAGTTCCTAGGTTCCTAACCAAACAGTTTCTAAGTTCCTAACCAACCAGTTCCTAGATTCCTAACCAACCAGTTCCTAGATTCCTAACCAACCAGTTCCCAGGTTCTTTACCAACCAGTTCCTAGGTTCCTAACCAACTAGTTCCTACGTTCCTAACCAACCAGTTCCTACGTTCCTAACCAACCAGTTCCTAGGTTCCTAACCAACCAGTTCCTAGGTTCCTAACCAATCAGCTCCTAGGTAACAATTTAAGTAACAATTTTGCGGAAAATCCTCTGAAATTCCCAAGAAAATCCAGTGAAAATGTTGACAGCTATTCCGAGGAATTTCTTGTAACCCATTCCGAGGAAATTCTCATAACTCTATCCAAGGAATTTCTTGTAACCAACTCCAGGAACTTTCTTGTCGAAAATTCTGCCGGAAACCACGGAGAAAATGTTCACAAAATTTTTGGAAATGCTTGGGAAATTCCAGAGAAACGTTCTTAAGAACCAATTCCTGGGAATTTTGCTGGGAACTATTCCCAAGATTTTCTCAAGAGTTCCTCAGGAATATCTTGACATAATCTCAGCATATTCCTGAGTACAATCACTATCCAGGACTTAGACCCTATATTAGTGAATAACTTAACAACTATCTGTATTGCCCCTCCAACTTTTTTAGAAGTATTACCAACTTTTTAAGTCAGAATGTTATAGTCGTTTTTGATCTTACTGAAGTTGTCATCTATTTTGTTTATTCAGACAACTGAATTGTCAAGAAAAAATAAAAAAATAATAAAAAAAATATTTTTTTTAAGTAGATGGTTCTGAAGTAAATTATCACATTACTGCGAGAGAGTAATCATAAACCCTGTGTTAATATTAACCAGGTCGAATCGTCCCCATCATTTAGGATTGAAGAGTAGCACCTCAGAGGAGGCGAGGAACGTGAGGATAGACAAGGAGAGGGAGCATGGGAAGTTTCTTGTTGATAGCTAGGCTTGTGTCCCTGTGTGGCATTTAGAGCCAGGTGTTGTGTCCTGGTTGACTTTGGTAGCGGACGGGTTGGACCTGGATAGATACGTTTCAAGAACTTCCTATGGAGTAGGTGTTCCTAGATTCTAGGTTCTTAAAC